TGCAATAAATCCTACCTTCATTAATGTTATGTTCAACATTCATTCAAACTGTTTTATGTTACAGGGTTGCTAATCCAACTTTATGGCCATTTGAAATCTGTTGTTTGTGGTACTATTGATTGCTACTGATGCCTGTGATACTATTCTAAAGCTACTTGAGCGGGTGAAACGCTTGACTTAGGGTTTAAGAGGTTGACTGAGCAAGTGATGCTCCTGTTTGGCCAAATACTGGCTGGTTAAAGTTCGAAATGAATATGTTTTTAATAATGATCATTCATTAATTGTCTGGTTAGAAAGTTGTGTTGCACCACTTGCTCTCCAGAGAGTTTTTTTCGTTCATGCCGGCAGTCATTTCAGAGAACACCTCTCCTAATGGCTTGCCTATCAGCAGATGGCCAGAAGCTACCTGCCAGTTTGAAGGAAGGACGGACAAGAGAATGGCTATAGAACAAACCACATGACAGGCTGCACCACGAACTGACTGCAAACCGGCTCTTTTTCATCCCTCACTTTCTGTACACTGGCACGTCTCCTGGGTTTAACTAGAGAGGGTTTAATTGAGGCTGGTCCTGTGTGTGTGTGTGTGTGTGTGCGTGCGTGCGTGTGTGCAGGACTCAACCTTAAATAAATCCCATTTCCCCATCTGCCTGCAGATAACACACCTTTGTGCTCCGTGGAGAATGCGCTGTATGCTTTGCTTTTGTTCTGCCAAACACTTTCGCATACTGTTCATGTGATTGTGACTTACAAATACCTTAAACCCCCGCCAACAGCCACATTTGTGCAAACTCATACACACAGAGCATTTTGCTTACCACCATCTTGTTGAGAGAGACCCAGCAGTCAGACGGAAAGTCCTGCAGCATGGGAACCAGGAACTGGAGACAGCCATCCCAGTGACACAGCAGCAGCATCATACCAATCAGGTTGAATATTCGCATCACAGCACTGGCCAGGTCATAGGTCATGTGGAAGATCTGTCAGGAGGAGAGGAGATGAGCAGAGAGGGTTACACAAGTAGAGAGGAAGAAAAAAACAGAGACAGATGTGTGAGAGGAATGAAAAAACAGTTTATGTTAATACAGACTGAGGTAAAATGTAAAACAGTCGAGTCTTTTCACAAACTATACTTGCAGCATATCGTTATACTGAAGATAGTCAGTGAGTTTTGCTATGTGGCCTATATCGAGGCTATTTTCAGGAGATGTAGCTCTTAACTTATGCATATTTAGGATTTTAATTAATAATCAGAAAACATTTAGTACGTGTGATATTTGCAAGAGAACTACATCAAATCAAAGTGATATTTAATTCATTATGTCTCAGGATCTAGCTAGATAACAGTAAAGAACAACATATGTATTCTGTACTGTTATCTAAAGGAGATAGTTTGGCTAACAACCTACTGTTAAAGCAGTATTAATTAATCTTTTTTGGTTTTGCCACATGTGGGCATGGTGGGGGGCACTATGTAGTTGCATATAGTTGCACATTTATACATCTTACAGTTATGGAGCAACATTAGCATTCATTTTGAATTGTGTTTCTGGCTAACAGCACCTGGCTAATACAAGTCCAATATTCACTCTCTTTCTTATAGCTCTGTTCTTGTTACTAGCTAGTTGCTAGCTTTGATAGCGTGCTGGGAGTGAATCAGAACAGCAAAGCTCTGAAAGCGAAAATAATTAGTGAAAGGATGCTGAAATGTGCTGCGGCAGGGCTGCAGAGAGCTGCAGAGTAGGCTGATAATTTACTGTGAGTCTGGCACAATAAGCAACACCCTTTCACATTACAGGTAGTCTTTCAAACAGTTGTTAATATAAAATATTGATTAGTGCAGCTTTAAGCGAGACAACAGCCTTAGAGGAAGAGCTGCAGGGAATTATATGTTTAAAAAAGCCAGTTGGGTTTCCCAATAATGTATATGTACTTCAAATTGTGAATATATAACAGGGGCTACGATTTGAAACATTATCATGAAACACACAGCGTGATGACTAATCAGTAACAAAATTTGTTTGTTTTTTGACACATGCTGTAGTGTATATCATCCATCTTAGCAGAATAATGTGTCAGGCCCAGGTTCTACATTGTAACCAGGTGGGGAAAATGAACAAGCACAGAGTGTGTAGTCTGTTCTCATTCACAATAAAAACCTCATCAGACTCTGATGAAGCTTTGATCAGCAGCCCGGGCTGGCCTCTCTCTGCTGTTTCTTACATTTACTCCCCTTTAGGTGAGAAGGCTCCTTTGTGTGGAGCTGGTCTTGTGGTCACAGTCTTATAAACACCACACACTGTGGCTTTGTTGGCAATTGGCCAGGCGTTGTTACCACTATGTGTGTCTGTGTATGAGGGTAGATTTACATCCATGTGTGTGCACTGGTGTGTAATCCTTGCTTAGCTAGGCCAACTGGAGGCTTCGCTAAATTGTAAGCAAAGCATATTCCCCACTAGGGAGCGAGAATTGTCCTACTAGGGAAGTAGGCCAGATGCTGCCTGTATGTCTGCATATAATATATACAGTATATTTATGCATATTGGAAAGCCCTGCTTTTTGGGCCAATTTGATGGTTTCTTATATCAAAAATAAAGGCTCATTTCTCACTTGAGACAAGAAAATTGTTAGAATAAGGCCAAACACAGTGTGTGTATCATGTCTCAAACACACACATTGCTGTGAATTTACAGTTTGGGGGCAGCCAGGTCAGGACATTCTCTGACTCAACCCGTCACCTCACAGGCCTCACTGACCTAAACTCGCAGCTCACTTGAATATCAAAACCTGCTCTTCTCTAAATCCCGGGGGTCCAAATCTCTCTTGTTAATTACAGTCTGAAAATAAGAGAGCCAACCAGTCTAACATATTCCTCCATCCAACCCGACCAACACACACTCCCACTCGCCAGTGTGCATGATTCTTACTCATGTAGCTCTGGGCCTTGTCTCATGAATTTCTTTGACTTTATCCTGTGTGTAATTTCCACATCAAATGCTTTAAATGTTCATTTACATAAGTATTGTGTATTATAGTTGTCTATGCATTAAACATCTCCTCCTTATCTAACATATATAGAATATCTACATATATAGAATATCTACATATATATTCAGCATCAAGGTGTTGTTTCTTCTTGGTGAATTACATCCTGTTTGATATGAAATATATGCTGTGATTCTTCTTAATTCTTCCCTCTTCTGCATATTTTTTGTATGTTTCATCCCTCAGCTCTGGGTTAAAATGTAATTCAGTGGCCAGAGATACTAGTTTCTATACTTTGTTGGAGTATTTCCTATAATGGCTAATGGCCTGAGCTAATTTGGAGATGGACAGAGGGAAACACGCTGTGAGGCCCTGCCCTGTGATTAGGAAGCGTTCCCATCATGATTAATGAGGCTCCAGGACTAATGTTCCCCCCGACACCAGAACAGCACCTGGCCATGTGTCACTGTCAGACCACAATCTGGGTCAAGGCACATTACTGTGACCACAACTCACAGCCTGACAAAACACAGATTAAAGACTTTCTACTTCTCTCTGCTGCACATCGTCAAATACAGATCCAGACGATACCGATGAAAACATTTAGAGAAAACTATTGAACCTGATTAATATTACTCCCACTACCATTCTCCACTCTGACTATTCACTGTAATCTGTCTAGTTCATGATCTACTGGGTCATGCCAGCAAGTGTAGAGTCTTGATACAAGCTTCCTGCCACAGGAAATTGCTCTGGTTATTCCTGACAATGCTTATCTATGCTTCAACAAACACACACATCAATCTATTCAAAGATCATGTCAAAAATACATCACTTCGCTCTGTATTTTTTAAATGATGAGCATGGTTGCCGACCAGTATTCTCTACTCGTTTGGCCTGTGGCTGAGCTAAATGGTTAAATCATCACAACACTGAGATGATCTCTCAGGAAACCCCCGAGCTGAGCGAAGCTGAGCCGAGCCGAGCTGGGCAGAGGGGAAACGCAGCCAGCCGCGTTTGGATTCGAGCTGAGCAGAGAAGAGCTCAGCTGAACTAAGCTGATGGAGGGCAGGGCTGAGTCGAAGCAAAGGAGCATTCAGATGCGAGCATTTGAATCAGTAATTATGGTTCTCATCGAGCTCAAATTACCACTCTGTAATCAGAAGAGCAGTGGTTATTTTCAGAGCGAGGGAGAGCACACATTTGATTCATAGATGCTTGGTTAGTCCAAACAGGGATCCTCAGTTTATATACTCACTAAGCACTTGCACATAGCAGGCCAGGGTTAATTGTGTTTATGCAGCATATTGTTATATGATGGATGATAATGCATCATCTATCTATGGATGGACACTATTTCCTGTCATGTCATCAGAAAGCTTGCATTAGCCAGTCTGTCAGTATCCATTTACAACAGTTTGATGCATTGATTAGTTGGAATGCCACAGTTAAACAATGAGAAAAATAAGAAAAAGGTATCTCTTGTTATGAGAATAAAAAGGCAATCAGTGTCCATGGAGGTTAATTCCTTGGAAAACTCCTTTTCACTTTCCCTATGATGAAAAAAATTAATGAAAATTAATTTTTCATGAATTCTTAACTGCATCAGTACACTGGGTTATGATAAGCTATTATCCAGCTCCTATCAGGCTTATTGTTATACAACATTGTAAAACCTCATTTTTTGTGTGTAAGAAAGTAATTATACAGAGGAGGATTGTTTTGATATACACAGACCACTGCACTGGAATCCAATATTGTCTTATTAATTAGAGCACAGTCAGACTGGATTCTCTCTTTTTTTAAAAGCAAACACAATTGGAAGTGGTGGGGAAATACTGTCATAATATCAGTCTGCAGCTTACTTCTGCAACATCAGCAATGATCAATAAAGCTTTGATGGCTTTGATCTGGAATGAAACTAATGAGCCTTTTTGTTCGGCCCTAAAATTAATCAGCAGGATTCATAACAAACATACAACTTTGTATAGGCTTTATTTCAATATCTATGTCCTCAGGTAGGAATGTAAAGATCTGTCGCGAGACAGTGATGATACAAATATGTGAGATGAAAAATTAATTGTGAAACTCTTTTTAAACAGCCGAGGGCGCTATCTACTTTTGACTTTGCTTGTCCAATGTCCAACGTTACTCGTGTCAGTACCTGTATCGAGGTGCAATCAGTTTCACTTTTGCACAGAAAAGGAAATATGCACATATGTGTATACTTACTTTAGAATTTTATAGAAGGTTTTATAATTGATGAAGAAACAAAGGAATCTTTTCAGTCATAATTTGTCTTCAATTTCATTTTCAAAATCGTGATCATGAATTGCATTGAATTGTGACTTGAGTGTACCGTTACATCCCTACTTCATGGTAACTTAAGATGCTTCATGTAGTTAAAGAATATGTTGAAGAAATGTGCAAGAGATTGTTTGCAAAGGCAACAGACATTAGCTTATACAGCCCGACTAAATCAAATCAGATGATGATATATCAGCAGATAGTAATTTTTTAAACATAAACAACAATTTATAGAATTCTGATAACGATACAACAACTTGTCAGTGGCTTCTGTTGGAAAAACTACGGAGCAGTTTCTAAATGACCTCAAAGCTACTTTGGCATTTCTGTACAGCAATGTCTTGTTAGTTATCGACCATACGCGTTACCAATGTATCAGTGGGCTAATATCGGCTGCTAATATTGTGTCATATCGGTGTAGATCTAGTATCTCTTAAGGAAAAAGGAAGAGCAGGATACAAAAAGCGTTTTGTGCGATTTCCTTAACAAACCAACATACCCTCACCTTGTCATCTTTACTGGCCTGTGTTTTAGACCTGCTCACTGTATACCTGATCTCATTTAATTTATGTTCTCCAACCTAACTCGTTCTTCCTTTAGTGGTCAGAGTAACACCCAAATTTGTCCCTGTCATTGAATCACAAATGTGGAATGTCCTACCTCCTCCCATTGGTGGATGTACCGGATGAGTCTGGACAGCCTCAGCAGCCGCAGCAGACTGAGGATCTTAGTGAAGCGGACGATGCGGAGCGCCCGGGCCGTCTTGTACACCTCCGAGTCGATCCCTTTCTCCACGATGAGGAAGATATAATCCACGGGTATGGAGGAGACAAAGTCCACCACAAACCAGGACTTCAGGTACTTCCTCTTAATCTTCTCGGGGTCGAGGATGATCTCTGTGTTGTCCTCGAACACAATGCCGGTCCTGAAGTTCAGCACCAGGTCCATGAGGAAGAAGGTGTCAGAAACCACGTTGAAGATGATCCAGGGCGTGGTGGTCTCGTCCTTGAAGAAGGTGATGCCCACAGGGATGATGATCAGGTTTCCCACCATGAACATCAGCATGGTGAAGTCCCAGTAGAACCTGACAGGGTAAAACAGTGGGGAGAAAAATGTGCTGAACTTCTCTGAAATATGAGGGGAATCAACACGTGACACGTATTCAGAAAAGTGCTAAATCTGAGCCTGTTCAGTGTGTATGAACCCAGCCTGAAATATTGAATACTCACGTTGTTGTTGTTTGCTATGCATCTCACATGTCAGCAAATATGCTGATGCTATTTGATCTACAACAACTGATTTTTTTTTAGCTTTTATGAAGCAGAGCTCTCTCAGGGGCCACACACACACACACACACTCAGACAACAGCGCCACCCGTGAACACAGCTACAAATGGCTTATCTTTTATGAAACGCACTTTCACTGAGTGCACTGTATCTTCTCCCGGTGAGGTAACCTATACCATCTGACTGGAGACAAGGTCAAAGCAAGGACAAGCAGAGACACGGGAATATTACAGGAAAGATAAGCTGGAGGCAATTCAGTCCAAATCAAAGAACAACAGACTGTAAAGCCGCAGAAAGACGATGCCACAGCTACAGTTCTGTGTTCCATATCTGATTTGTAGTTGTTTAAGCTTTTTGTTTGTCAAAAACAACCCTCAGCTTAGAATTCTAAGCATTTTAAAAGTGATACCTTTGATTAGCTGATCAACAGAAAATTAATTAGCAATTATTTTGATAATCGATTAATCAATTTTTAAGCAAAAATTCCAAATAATAATAATTTAATCTAATTTCAGTTTTTCCAATGTGAGGATTTGCTGCTCTTCCTAAACATGACATTTAAAGACAAAGACGCTATTTTTGACATTTTATAGACAAAATGATTAATTGAGAAATTGGCACATTAATGAATAATAAGAATACTCCTTAAATGCAGTCCCGTATGTTTATCATACCACTGTCATGGTTGATCAGATGGCTTTTGTTACAATGCTGTCTGATCAGCAGAAACTAAGTGGGAGCCTGCAAAGCAGAGGGCTGATTAAGGAGTGTTGCTGAGTCATGACTCCTCAGTTTCAGGAAATTGTTCAGTTTTAAATATTCCTTGACACACCTCATAAAACCACCAATAGTATCCTCCGAGTGAAAGCCAGTTACAGCTGTATGTATCTTCAGACTGCAGCTGTTTAACCACTGAGGTAACTGGAGGAGCTGTCCTTGGTGCTGAGACAGATGTTTAGACACATTCCAACTTAACGACGAAACTTTTAAGTTTACTTCAACTTTAAAGTACATCTTTAGGCTAAAACTCACTGAACCAAACCTTTTCGAGGGCTCTTGCTTGTCATGAATACAAACATCATACAACAGTTATTCAAATATTTGGCCAGTGTAAACAAGAATTGTCCAGAGACCCAGATGCATTAGTTAACCAGATGGTGTACAGTGCAGCCTCAGTGTTGAAATCAGTATTCCTCTGAGCAAAATACAAAAAACAATATGTCTTTATCTGTCACAAAATGGGGGATATTATATATGATCATCTTAAAACGAGGTGACTGTCCTCTTGAGGCCTGCGCTGCTCAGAGTATTTCATCATGTTTGGACAAGTTTAACCTATTTGGCATCTGTGAGAACTTACATCCTTCATAATAGCATCAATAAATGTTTCTCAGTCTTCATAATGGATCAAATTCTCCCTTTCTAACCACAATAAGAATACAAGCCTAAATATCTCATTATCTATTATTTGGATTTATTTATGTTGTTATTTTTATTTCCTTTCCATCTTGGCTGCAGCTTGAATAGTGTTTATGAACTTAACTCAAGTGGCCCATACCTGAAGTCGCTGTATGGGTGAATAATCCAATTACCCGCGGACTTTACGCGCTCTTGTTCTTTCTCCACCGCCTTCTGGCTGCCAAACATGCGCAGGGAGAATTTGTTAACTCCGGGCTGAAGCATGGAACTAAACTGCCGCTGCATGTAAGTCTGATTCCCCCTGGAGTCTCCGTCGTCCGGCACTATCTGAGAGCCATCCTCAGCTTTAGAGAATGTGACAGAGTTTCTCGACTGCTGACCCGAGGTCTGTCCTTTACCAGTCGGTGCATTGGAGAAGGAAACTCTGGAGTCCTTTTTCTCCATCGCTGCCGCGGTCTTGACCTCGGCCCCGGGCCCCTGTGTCAGGGACCCCGCTGAAGTGATAGAGCCATCCATGACTGCAGCCTTGCCGTCTTCAGCTGCTGCTGCTGCTGCTACTCCATCTGCCTGCGTCTGCTGCCTTGAGATGAGAGAGGAGAGGCTCCCTGAACTGGTCGGGTCCCTTCTACAGTCTCCGTTTTTGTTGCATATCATACCGATGGCCCCCGCTCCTATTACGCCCGCCTCTGTGACCGTGTCCCTTCCACCTCTGGGTTCCGACTCTGAGCCGCCGGCAGCATCCCTCTGGCATAACAGAGCAGAGGCGGTGCTGCCACTGGCACTGACAGGTGCGGAGTCCTCGCCTCTCAGGAGCCACAGCTCATTGTTGTTGGAGTTTTTGCGCGCAATGGACGCGGCTCCGCCTCCTGGCGTCAATTTCTTCGTGTTGGTTCCTCCGCTGCTCCCATGATCCTGCTGGAATTTGGGCTCCTCGTCGCCGTCCTCCGCCTCGTCCATCACGGGCAAAGGCAGGAGACAAAGACAGACACTCCCGTTACCTTGGACCTGGCGAGACTGGGCGGCGGCGGAGGAAGGAGTGTGGAGTTCAAAGCAGCAACAGCCCTCTGCTTTTCATCCACACGCCACTTTAGGGATAACAGCGCACCGGTGGCGTTGCTATGGATGCAACCTGGCTCTTGTTTGTGTTTGTGGTGCGTTAGAGAGAGAGGAGAGAGAGAGAGAGAGAGAGAGAAGAGAGAGAGAGAGAAGAGAGAGAGAGAGAGAATTACCTCTGAGCTGCAACCACCCACAGGTAGCTTATATTGGGGGAAAAACTATGAACAAAAGAAAGCAATTTTGATAAGAGCAGGACACGCCCTATAACCTGGCAGTGTGACTAGAAAGAAAACTATTAGCTCATATATAAAGACATAGATATACATGTATAAACTCACCTGACAGGAGGAAGGAACATGGACAAGGTGACAGATGGAGGTTACCAAAAAACCACAAGTTCTCTATCTTTTGTCATCAGCTCTTGATCTCAGGTGAAATCAGACAGTGTACTGCTGTGGTCAGGTGATCCATAGTAATTCTAATACTCGATATGTTCTGGACTAGATTTAGAGATTTGAGCAACAGCGTCTGCCTGTTGTTTTAAGCTGAATTTAACAGAGGCCCCGTCATTCTCGGTTAAATGGCTCCACCTGGTGGAAAAGGATACACATTGCACACTCAAGCTTCCTCAGAGGCACCATGCACTGGACACAGCCTGTTCCTTCTGTGGCTCCAAGGTAGAGAACCTAACCCCCTCAGAAGATGCATTCACTTGTGTTTTTGTCCTTAGCAAATTATGGCAAACCTTTTAATGTCTTTTTAGAAACTTTATCCTGCTGCAGCTTCTCATTGCATTTTGATACATTCCAATTTAGGCTTTCAAAAACAAAGATAAACTTAATTTTAAAATATACATGTTTTTACAGTAAGGAAACAGGCATGGTAATCAGAAATACCCACAGTTCTATTGATAAAAGAGGGTCACAAACAACGTTTTTTTATTAGCTTTTATAGATCATCATGGGTGTGAAACAGGAATTTAATGTAAGGTAAAGTCAACAAGAGAAAAAAAAAGTGTAAAGACATGTCTGAACTTTAACAAGAAATTCCAGTTTTAAAAACTAAGTGTTTTTTTGTGTAGGACTAAAACTTCTCCACTGGATGCAGCCGAGTTCTTAAGATTCTTAAAATTAAAGCTTTCAATCAGATTTGTTTTGCACGTAACACGATAAACAACACTTAAGTAAAAATGTATGACATGCAATAGTCTATAGAAATAAAGCCACTGAACCTCAGACCCTCATGAAGTGGACCTTGACAGTTATACCTTGACAGACTGTAGGATTTGGTGACCTGCAAACAACCACTCTCAAACAAATAGTGATTATGATCTTCTGTGCAACTATATAGGCCTAGCCTATAGGCCTTGACCGTGCTAGGCCAATGCACCCGCACCCCAGAGATGAAAGGGTTGAAACAGTAGGTCAAGAAGGCTCTCTATGCCACGCTTATATCGTTTGTTTAAAAAAAGTTGAGTAAACAGACATGTAAAATCCAAAACCTTTATTCAGTTTGTGCCAAGTTGTACAGCAGATGGTGTTCCACGTACTTGTAAGGTACAACAGTTTACACAATTCTGGCTAGGTCTTATTTGTGTAATTCTGAAATGGTAACATCCAATCACAACACTACTCAGGTTAAATGGAACATACGGCTTCTGAGTCATCTACACAGTGAAACAAACAGATGACGGTCCACCAATCGCGCACAAACTTTATCTCAGATAACATTGAGTGAGAAAGAAAATATCTTATTAAACGTTGATGTTATATTAGACTGAAACATCAGTGCATGGTATTTAAGTTGCATTTAACAGAAGCAACAGATCAATTTTCTTGCACTTGGTCCTCAATAATAATAATAATAATGTGACATGATCAGCAACAAAAACACCAGCGACTAAAACTTTCAATTTAAAATATGTGAAGAGAAAAAAGGAAATAAGCATGAATTAAAAAAAAAAAAAAAAGGGACAAAATACTTTCCTAACTAAAAGAAGAGTAATTTCTTACGGCAACAAAACCTAGAAAACAATTGAATCTTAAGTCAATTCTGCATTTAAATTTACAGGTCACAGTTAAAGCTTGTAACAGGTAACAAAATGCAAAAAAGACAAGAAAGAGAAAATGGTGCTTGTTAAGGCAAAGTATAAAACTCTGCTATGGGAGGTTTGTGGTAGTGTAGGGACAGATCAAATGCGTGAATTCAAACACACTCCAGTCGTTGCTGTAAAGAATGGCAGTGATGTATCAGGATCGAAAAGGTTTCAGATCCTCTTAAAAACCCAACTTGTGCTGCTTTCCAAGTAACCATTCCGGATGGAGGATATAAAAGCAAAACGACTGACAACGTGAGTTCAGCGTAGGAAGCAACAGCATTAATAAAAAATAACCACAAACTAAGCATTCCTCACATGGACTTTCTAATGATTTTACAACGAACACACACTTTTTCTAAAACGGCATTTAAACTCATGCAATATTTGCCCCGAGGCCTCAAGCAGAAAATTATTTCACACTATGTTCTCTTCAATTCAATAATTGTCCCCGGCGGGCAATTCTCTGGCTGCACAATGTGGAGAAGAATAGAGAGAAGAAAACACAACAAGAGGAAATCAGTCAAATCTTTTTAAAACATTAACACCCAAGCACAAAAAAGGTACTTCAAATTGCAGTTTGCAGGGTGCACAGTATAATGTGCAACACAACAGCTGAATCCTGGACTGCCTTCTGGATGTCCATCTAGGAAAAAGAAAAAGTTGCATGAGTGAAGAATGATCTTCAGTCTTATATTCAGATTGTTCATTTGTTTGATTTTTATATCATGTTTCTTTTGTTCAAGGGCGTTGTTAAACATGCAGATACTGACTACATAATTAAAACTGTTTTTTTCAGTTCAAAAGAAGAACTTTATCCCCCATCGATATGTATATACGCACCTCTTTCAGCCTCTAATTAGAATTCCTTTGCCTCACATTCTTGTCTTTGTGATTTGCATTAGAATTGCTCTTCCTGAAAAACACATCATAGAGAAAACATGAGTTCTGTAAAAAAAAAAAAAAGATTTTTTTATTGACGAGCAAGGTACTGAGCTGCTGACTGTACTTACAGAGGAGCAGATCCTGAGTCGTCATCTGGACAGCAGTAAATGATCAATGAAGGGAAGGCAAACGAGAACAAGAGTCAGTCGATAGCATGATGAATGTCTTTGATCAGTGCCAGCAATACATGCCCCACTCCCCCACCACCACCACCACCACCCACCCACCCACCCACCGATGACGGTAGCAAGTGTTAGAACATGACATCCTCTGCAACATGATTCCAATGAGGTTATGATCTAATCTAACATGACCTGAGGCATGCCTGCCCGTTGCATTTCTGACTGTGAATGATGCAACTAAATCCTTAATAAATGATTTATATGATATAATTCCACACACACACACACAACTGTGTTTCATAAAAGACAAGGTACTAAATGTCACCTAATAAAACTACTATATGTCTCAGTCGGTCATAAGATTTGGAAATTGCCTTTTTTTTTATATACACATTGTTCAGTCACCCCTCTAGCACCACAGAGGCTCATGCAATACAAGCAAAAGGACACCAAAGGAACACTGCAGTGGCTGTATTCAGATAAAAACAGTAAACATCTTTAAACTGGCTAGCTAACACACATCCTAGCATGTATAGTGGCAGTATTCACACCAGAGCAAGAGCACATATTGACAAGGTAAGGCAAAAGTAGGCCATCTCTGTGGCCCAATGGTGAATGAGACAAATGTAAATGATGTACTGATCTTGAGAAGAGGGTTGTCTATCATTTATCATGCATAAAGTACAAGATGCAGAAGGCATGCAGACAGAATGCTGAAACCTCTCACTTTTCAACCTGTCCAAGATCATGTCAAACCATTACACTAGCTTACATGTGACTCTCATTTGACTCTTTCATTGGCTCAAACACAGGATTTTATTTTATTTTTTTATAAAAAGAGGCCAATAAATGAAATGGCAAGAAATGATTTTAAAGCTTGCTTTGTTTGTAGGGCCAGTGAAAGAGTGACCAAATCTTTGAGCACATTCCTCTTAGAAGTGGCGACTATGAAAGCAGTTCATTCAGACTCCCATAGCCCTGTCCACGCGGTCACCTCAGCTCAACCACTTCAGTCTGACATGCAGTTTTGTCCACTTACCAAAATGCAAAATCAGCAGCGAACAGAGAAGTAAAAATGTAAATAATAAAAATAATAGTTTCTATCACATATTTCTTACACAGAGGTGGAAGCTAACACCTGATTTTTATTTTTAAACTGTAAATAGCAAAATCAAAGACAATAAGAGTTCATATTGAATGCATGCAACTACAAAATCAACAAATCCCCACCTAAAGAGCAAAGCTTTTCCTCAATAATCTCCGTCTTGCCACTGGGGGGCACTAAATCGTCTTAACTCACAGTTGAGTAAACAAGGCCTAGTGTTTAACGTGTTTCTCTCCTCATTACGACAGAGGAATGACAAGTTGCGTGGCCATATCTAACTTCAAAAAGTCAATTAACTTTGCTGGATACTTTCACAGCCGCTTTGATAGCCAACTATTCATGATATGAGGGTTTTCTCCAACTCAAAATGGCCAATTGACAAATTAAAGTCTCAGCTCTAATTGGCTGTTCAGACCAAAACAGCACAGCACTAGTGGCAGCGTGCTTCAGGTCTCGCATGAAGATTACATACAATGTAGAAGGCCCAGTACTGGCATCAACAGCACTTTATAGTACGATGACACGATATTTTACAAGTACTATAAAAGGAGTGTGACCTTACACGTGTCAACATAGTGGTCTCATTGAAATGGATGAGAAGGCAGCGTTTCATCACTCAGTGCTAATATACGAGTTGATGTTCTGTATAGTGGTGGAGGCAGCGTGGCCTACGTACCGTCGTTGATCTCATCGGGCTTTCTCCTCTTCTCGTAGATGAAGATGATGGTCACCAGGATGATGACCTCGGCCACAATGCCAAGGAATGGCCAGAGAGCAGCCAAGCGACTGCGGACACGCAGGTGGATCCTGTCGGTGGCTGTGCCGAGTTCATTGGTCCCAGCGCAGGTGTAGTCCCCGATGTCTTGTTCGATGCTCAGGTCATTAATCGTCAGAGTGGTCTTGTTAGGGGTGCTCTTGATCTCATATTTGTCTGAAGTGCCGTTGGTGATAGGCTGAGGGTTGTGTTTGAACAAGTTAGTGACATAAACAGCGAGACAGGTTCAACCATTCTACATTATATTACATTATTTGCAACTTGGAAAAACCAACACAAAAATGAAGGCGACAGAAATTTTAGGTTCATGTCCTCTGGTTTAGAACTGTAGATAAAAAAAAAACATTATGAATCATTTTAAAATAATAAAAATAACAAGCTACATACCCCGTCGATTCCCTCTTTGAACCAGGTCCAGTCAGTGGGCAGTGGATAGCCATGACTCACACAGACCATCACACCTTTGTCCTTCTCATTGCCATGCTCAGAGTGCTTGTAGGCAGCAACGTGGGGAAGTGCTACAGCAGGAAGAGAAACACATATGCAAATTAGAATATGAAAGTTGGTGAACCGATGAACTGATCTTCAAATAAGATTAAGAAACCAAGAACTGATTGGAACGTTTCCAGAGCTACCTTCATAATAGTACATTTATGTAATTAATTATCATGATCAATTTCCAGTTTTTTCAGTTTAGAACTTCTGTGATGTTGAACATTGATTTTACATTCATTATCAAACTGTCACCCTGGTGATTATTCTACGATCTGCTGCATGTGCAGGTGACATGCGGTTTTCAGTTGTCACTTAATGGTGAATTGCACAACATTTTCTGGAAAAAGGCTTCTTTTAATTGTCAGTTGTTCAATGAAAGGAACCTGGATCTGTGATACTCATTAACTAACTTACTTTTGACTTCTATTGTCTGCTTCACCTCTGGCTCCGTCAGGAACACACATTCATACTTTCCACTAGAACTGTAGGTGATCTTCTCCAAACTATGGAAAGAAAAAAAATAAATGATTTGAGAACACCTTGCAACACTTTTAATTAACTATTAATAGAAATGTAGGAGTATTTTTCTCTGCAGACCTAACTTAAAGCTTCTAACCAATTGTACTAAAACCACATTAATGACAGTTGTTAGTTTTCCACTTAACTAAGTAGAAAATTCACACTATAACCCTGTTTATGCTCAGGAGCCGGGGGTAAAAATAAAGCTGCTTGTCCATGCAACAAATATTTCAAATTTCCCCTTGTAAACACAATCCACTTTTGTTTGGTGCTGCTGTCCCATACAGTCCTGCTCGCTCTCTCTAATGGGGAATTAAGGTCAGGGCGAGTGAGCACACTGCTATGGGCGCTTATCCCTGCTGCCAAGACTACTGGCAAAGCTGCACGACTGCACGGCCCATCTCTCTGCTGAGCAAGAGCAGTGAATGCCTGAATGGCGCCCTTCGCTATGCTGCTAATGGAGGCAGCCAGAGAGGAGGGAGGCTGGTGAGAGGGGGAGGGATGACCCATCAGCAAAAGTCAGAGGGAGAATACATAGAGATGGATATTGACTGTAGTAACAAAGCCAGAAAGGGACGGCATACGAATCAGAGTAAAAAAGGGAAGAAATAAAGACTAGAGCAAGATATTCCATGTCAATAAAATTATTGAAGTCAAATGGGCCCGCCATTTTCTTGTATGGCTCATTCACTTAGCACTGCTAACCAGTCTGTACAAAACAGAAATGGGCCTTCTGTTTTAGAGTTAGTGGGAAACAGCACATAAACACTGCCAAATTGAAGACAAAGTACATTTATATATTACTATCAGAGATCTTTATTGTGCGATAGTAACTGCAGAGCAGATCTGCCCATATGACACACTTAGGTGGAAGTAGCTACTTACTGGAGTTCAGTGAATAAAGAAGAATCAGAGGATTTGGAAGTTTCAATGAGTTTTCCATTGTGCATCCAGTGAGAGCCCTTGCTGGCAAGACTGGACTCTGTCAAGTTGCAGCGCAGGGTGGCAGAGGTCTGGTTGTTGACCTCAACGGGTTCGGTAATGATGTTTGGGGCTTAAAATAAACAGAGGAAAAATGAATTATTTATAATCCTTTTCTAAAAATGTCAAATTTCAGCTTGTTGGCAATCTAAAATATTTTTGCAGGTTTAAATATCTTATCTTAAGACTCTTATACTTCATTGATGACATGATGTTATTGCCTTGAAATGTATTCAAACATTTTCAAGCTCTAGTTTAATTGACATTTTATCTTTCGACACTCAGACAGAAATAATTTGGTCCAAAATGTCACATTAGTGCACAGAATGTACACGAATGCCTCACGCTCACACTCATTGTTGAATAAGGAAATAAAAAAAGTGGTGGAAGAGGTCAACTATGAGGTATTCTATTTACTGTCCCAAAGGTGTAAATATGAATTGGGATAAAGCAAGTCATTGTTCTTGTTGAGTGTTAAAAAGGTCCAGTGTGTAACATTTCGAATGATCTACTGGCAGAAATTAAATAGAATATCCACAGGCATGTTTTCATTAGTGTATAATCAGCCGAAAATAAGAAGTGTGTTCTCTTAGCATGAGCCATTTTTCTACAGAGGAAACAAGTCCTCTTCCACAGAGGCCAGAACGGATAAACCAAATACTGGCTCTAGATAAGGCCTTTTTTTAACCACGTGTCTCGTACATGCTGAGCTGTATTAAAATGGCTGCAACTTCACTGCTAGATGCCACTGAATCCTACACACTGGTCCTTTAAGTGGTCAAGCAGAAATAAAAGAAGAATTACCAACTACGTCCTTCGAATTTTCCTTCAACTTACCCAGGAGAACAAATCAATTCTCACAAGTTAAACCAAGAAAACATTGTGACAAACGTACAAGTTCTGAACAAATGCACTGATGTTTCCAAGAAAGGTGGAAAGAGCTCCCCAACATGGAGAGCTCTGTCCCACCAACAGTAGAATGGAGGGGAGAAGAGGAGTTGTACTGGAAATCTAGTAAATACTCTACAACAAGGTCATGGGGAAAATATCTCTTCATATATACACACATGCAGAAGAAGCAACAAGAAGGGGATGAAAAATCTTTGGCTTTTCCACCGCCAATTACATGATAAAAAGTCAAATTTAAGTATTTTTGCTTCATTTGGGTGAAGAAACTGACCAATTTGTCCACAAATAATAATAATACTGGACCACAAGGCAGAAAGATGCCCCACGGCTGAGAATCTATTTTTAATAAACCAGTTGCCATCTTCTGTGCCTACCATTCAGTAGTGGTCTAGAAGCATAAACAAAAGGGGCAATGCCAATGTTAGTATCAATTAAGGAAATGCTAGGAAATTGCTAGCAAAAAATAAATATCTACCAAGAAGCAATACTAATCAAGTAATCTGACACCCCTTTTTTGTTTATCTCAAAATCATTAATCATCATTTTTGTTGACATACAACAATTTTGCAGGTGCCATTTGCAAGTTTCCAACCTTATGACCAGTATTATACACAAGAAAACCTACCATAATGGTACCTAAGCCTTGAAACGTGGAGAAAAAAAAAAAAGGCATCAGATTGAAGACGTGTTGTGTGTCAGGTAACGCAGGATTAGGGAGCGGCCCGGCCACGCTTAATGACCAGGTCGGTGTTCTACTACAGGACAACCGGGGAGCTTACAGGAAGAGGAGAGGGAGAGTGTATACTGGGTGAAGCAGGATGGAGGGGGTGTTGGACCGGTAAGCATGGGAAGTTGAGAGCGACAGGAGTTGGATGTCCAGGACTTCACTAATGAGGAGAGAACAGCCAAGCTACTTCTCCTGATGCTTCCGCTGCCACTCACTTTCGATCACAATAATGTTTGCCTGCGAGCGGATCCACTTGATTTTTGGCGTCTTCTTCAGTTCATTGCGGTCGGGGTCGTTGGAAGCGCGGCACTCGTACGTGCCCGAGTCGTCGAAGGCGAGGCTAGTGAGGTGAATGGTGCTCGTGGCGTGTGCTATGTATGTGGCGTTTATTTGCACACGTTCATCCCGTGCCCCGTCAAAGAGCTGGGTGAAGGTCTCATTGGGCTCTTCACCCTCTACGAACCACCACTGCACCTCTGGGATGGGGTACCCGATCACCTCGCAATGCAGCTCTGCGCTGTCATTGAACAGCTTCATCTGAGACAGGGGGGACTTGATAAAACCCGCTGAGCACCGTGTACGGTCGGCCCAGCAAACAGAGATTGGAAGAAATTTGCAATGTGGTGGGTTTAAAGCAAGCCGGGTGATTTTGTGGATGATAAAAAAGGCAGTGATGGAAGAAAGACAAGCAAATAGGAAAAAGAAAAGAAAAAGACACAAAGTTAATAAAACAAATGAAATGGAAAATATGAAAGCATATAGAAAAGGCATAGATCAGAGCAACATTTTTGCCCAATTATTTGGGTAAATTAATTCATGGTACTCTGACCCATTAAGATGAACATAAGAAAGGCAACATAAAGGCAATTAGGGATGACCCGAGCTGATCTGAGAGCACAGCATCCAGTTATACTCAGTTTCCAATTTAGTGTGTGCATCGAGCTAAAACCATTTGACTTCTGCAGCCTTGGAAATAATCCTACCTACGTGAAAGTCATAATGTTTCATTCACTGTTCAAACTGCTTTTAAAATATAAATAATATTTTTCTACCCCATTTATATCAATGAAAGTATACTACTAGGTTTGGGTGATCCTCTCTGTGATGAATCTGTTATCAGTGGACTTTAATGTCAATTTAAATTCAAACCAAGCAAGCCAGCCAGTTTTTGTTCCATTTAAAAAAGGCCTTTAAAAAGGTTTAGTATTAGCAGTTACTTTACAATAAATGTTGGTTTGGGTCGAGACATCCCTAAAGTCAGCAATAGCAAAACAAAAACAAAAAACAACAAAACCATAAAAGCATCTAATAGCATTCCCATGAAAAACAATGTGCAATGAATGAAACAGAACATGAAGAGAAAAGCAGATGAGGTTGAAATTAAAAACGTTTCACATGATAAAATTAAACAATCCATGAAAGCTTCAGGACACGCATGAAGCAGTTTGGGCTGGTGCACTTTCTCTGCAGCGCCTCGTGTCACCCAACAGTGGTTAGCGTGTTAACACGTAGCCTATTTTTCTGAATATTCTGCCGATTATATAATGTAGGCTATGCACATGACCTCAAAGTAAACCGAAGTCAACACGTTCAACCCCCACTGAGTGGCAAATGTTCAGCATCTGCCATCGATGCACTCACATGGGAATAACACTAAAAATACTTGTTTTCAGTATTTTAGTCCTCCCCAGAATCACGGCGCTCCACATTCATACCAGGCATGGTGGGTTTGTTTGGACACTCAGTGGTGGTCGGGGGGGGGGGTTAGAAATGTAGGTGCGTCCAGGAAAGACTAACATTCTTATACTACCGCCCAAAGCACAGCAAGATTGTTCTCCTCCTTTCAGGAAAATCAAAGACTAGGACAAAGCAGAACAAAACCTGGGGTGGGTCCCGATGAGGGAAACAGCAGCTCAAATGAAAACCCAATGAGAACAAGAGCCTCTGTCTCCACACGTATATCAAGTAACTTTTCTTGCTTAGTGGCTTCCAAAGGTCACCTTCCCAACATGCTGCACGAAAGTTCAAAATTAAATATAGTCTCGGCCCCAGTTCCAACAATGATTAGACGCAAACCAGCCCGACACGGCAACTGAGTGCCTATAGGCCTCTGCTGTATACTGTGAGAAGCAGCTCCATGAGTTTAGAGCCCTTTTAGAGAACACATTCTGTAGTTGATATTCTGTGTTTACATATGGTCAAAAACAAGCTAATGGCCTGAACAATGTACGCAAAAAAATCTATCATTTTTACATAAAGGAAAAGAAGATTAAGATTTCATGTGATGCAAAGTTAGCATGATATTTGTTAAGCAGTGGGGCAAATAAAGCCAAACTATAGGGACACGTGCTTTATCTTCATTGGAACCAGTTGAAAATTAACAACTCAAGTGTAAATTTACTCAGCTTTTGAAAGACACAAAGGTACAACAAAGATTAAAACATGTCACCCGGAGGCCAATTTCAACGCTTGTGTAACTTTTCACACTGAGCAGGAAAAACTAGTACAGTGCAACGTCTTTTCCAATTAAAGATGAATACCAACGGTTCCATCCTGATAAAATGCAGTGACACTCGTGAAAACAATAAGAAGTAATGATAAATAATAAATAATAAATTGTTTAAAGTGGCCATTTCAAGCTTCCATTTCAGCCATGTACTATTTGACCCAGATTACTGTTGAACTTAACACCTTCTGATGAGGGGACAAATACATGTCACTGTCAGCCCACATACATCCATTGGTTGGGAGCTGATCTTGTTGTACTCTAATCAAGTAGCCCACTTTGTCCAATGTAATCATTCAGCCCTAGAGGAGCAGCACAGACTGGTCACCATTATAAAAAACAACAACCTGTCAGTGTCGGTGCTACTCGACTGGAGGCTTCTACCCTAAAATGATCATTTAAGTGAGAGCACGTTAAGCAGCTGGAGTGTAAAGATGGAGGTCAAAACACTATTTACCAAAGTGCTGGGATTAAACATCAAGCACTTCAGGTGTGAAAAAAAACAAAAAAAC